ACTAAGTTACTACTTTTCACTTCGCTCGGACAAGAATCGACCAATCAAAAGAAAGTTAATAGCCTAAATGATTTTTCAGTCCTCGCTTCACTCCGGACAATAATAACCAAATTTATTGTTTTTATCTCATACAAAAGTATACAAAAGTGCGATCTTTTTTGATCATTCACATTTTTTTATAATATGCGAGCCCCTATGTGTACCCCTCGTGACCGGAAAAAAAAAAGAATCATGAATACATTTATTGTTATAGAACATGCAAATTAGGAAGTTTTTTTTGTACGTAACTTTATTATTAAGTAATCAATTTCGTCACTCATGATTGTCATTATTGTTTATACAGTAGGTGGGGGTGATCGAGTCATGCTGATATTATGATATTATTCGAATTAGAGGGAGAGGATCCTAACTTACTTTCTTAATTGTTTGTACAATAAAATTCTTTTTAACTGATTGATTTTTATCAACTTTATTTTGTTATGGAGTTTACTCAAGAAACAGCTTCCTCACTAACTTTAGGTGTTTCGACTCAAGAAAATACATTGGCGTCAACTCAATTCAAAACTGATCAGGGAATTAAAAATGTAGTATTTGGCTCGGTAAGTTTTAAACATCTAATTTGTACAGTACACAAATTTTTTTTTTTAATATTTCTGAATGTATACGAATAGATTGCAGGAATGACTGGTAAACTTGTAGAGTATCCATTTGATACAGTCAAAACACGTCTTCAAGCACAACCATTAGATTATAAGATATTCAAAGGACCTTTAGATTGTTTTAAACAGACGATAAACCATGAAGGGCCATGGGGATTATACAGGGTAATTATTTAAATAATACACTTTAACAAGTTTCGAAATAAATTATTGATCATGATTTTTATTATGCATTTAATAAATTTGTAAATTTTTTTTAATTAGGGTATGTCATCTCCAATGGTGGGAGCCATGCTTGAAAATGCAATGTTATTCCTTGCATATAATCAAATCCAAATGATGATTAAAGAGTACACAACACCAGCATATAAACGTCATTTATTATATAACAAAAACTCGGCAGATGAAGTATCGCTTGACATGGGTCAATTGTGTTTGGCTGGAGCATTATCAGGAGCATTAGCATCATTCGTGCTTACTCCAGTTGAATTAATTAAATGCAAACTACAAGTTCAAGAAACTTTTACATACAACAAATCATCAGCATCAGTCATTGATATTTCTAATAAATCAGCTACGCCAAATCCAATATATACAGGACCATTATCAGTTATTAAACATACATTTAAACAACATGGTATACGTGGATTTTACTGTGGACATTCAGGAACATTTATTCGAGAAACCAGTGGTGGAGCTATATGGTTTGGAACTTATGAATTCGTTTCAAAAATGTTTATGCATCAAAAAGCGAAAACAATGAAAATTGACAAAAATTCGATTAAGAAATCAGATATAAATCCAATACAATTAATGATAGCAGGTGCATGTGCAGGGATGGCTTATAATCTTTTCGTGTTTCCAGCAGACTCTATTAAAAGCCAGATGCAAACCGAAGAAGAAATGATGCAAGCTACAGGTAAAACTGTTACTAAACGTGGATTTATTAGAGTTGCAAGAGATTTGTATAAAGCTGATGGGATACCTGGATTTTATCGTGGTTGTGGAATTACAGTTGCCAGAGCAGCACCTTCTAGTGCCATAATTTTTATGACTTATGTGAGTATACGTACGATAATTTAAGATTATAATTTTTTAAGATTATAATTTAAGATTATAATTTTTTTAAGATTATAATTTAAGATTATATATTTATATATTAATCTTTATAATTTTAATTTTGTTTAGGAACTTTTACGTCAACGTTTTTCATGATAATAATTACTTTTTTTCATAACTTTAGTTTAACTTTACAAAATAATTTTAATTTTATAATATATAGAATATTTGAAAGTTCGAGTAAATAGGTTTTAGAATAATAGACATTCGATAGAACTTTATTGTGAACTTACAGATAGTACGTATTGAGGTTTCACATAATTTTTAAGACTTTACGGATGAACCATAGATATTGATGATCTTCTAACTATTATTGGAGTGTAGTAAATTAGATAATGAGTTTGGGATTAAGGGGTTGATTGCAATAATAACGATAAATTGCAATAATAAATTGCAATAATAGATTGCGATAATTGTATTAACCTTTGATGTATAGCAAAATAAGAACGAATTAATGTAATTATTATTATTAAAGAGTTCTATTTGATATGTGGTGTAACAAGACACTAATGTAGAATCGAAATTCAAATTTATTTGATGAGATAGTCAAGTATTAAATAAATTATGGATATTTTGAATGTAGAATTTCTATAATGTTTTAAGAGTGTGAAATCAGGATTTGTTCACATGCATTAAAATTATGTGATAAGATTATTCTAATGAAAAAAGAAAGATCAGTAATTTAAGAAAAGTTACAGAACATTAATTCTAGTGTTATTTTTGAACACGTTGTGTAGGAACATGTCGTATAGGCGAAAGTTCTAGCAAGGTAACGAACGTATAAAATAATGTTTATGATAATGTTTATGATTGGCACTAGATTTACTTGCGTGTCACCTTAAAGAAAATCCCACGATAAAAGGGCTCTTTTATTAGAATATTTTTGAATAAGGTTTTGGAAAAGATTTTCAAAAATATTTTTATTTTCTAAAAGACACTGGTTTCCAAGAGAAAGATCAACATTTTACCACGGTTTTTCTCAAACTTTAATGAAACAACGCGCAAACCGGTAAAAGGCTTGTAAATTTACACGTTTAAGTATTTAATGTAGAATCATGAGAAGTTTTGAAACGCACGGTAAATGATTATCAAAATAAAGTAAATTTGGTAATGAGCAAGTGAAATTTTCTTTTCAAAGCAATTTACATTCATTCATTTGGATTCATATTTGGACAGAAGTATAATACAAGAATTACATGCATTGTTTAAAAAAAAAAATAAGCAAATTAATTTCCGTTTTCGTTTTTCATGAAAAAAGCAGGAAATTGTTTTACACGTTATTCATTGTTTAATTGAAAATTTTAGGTGGCCCCGACACACGGACAATCTTCTACGTATTAGATAATATTAATTATCTGTTCGATTATGTTCGATTATTATCTGTTATCATTTATCTATCGTGTCATAACGATAGGCAATACTTGAATGATTAAATGTATATGATTAAATGTATGATAAAATAAAATAAAATAAATGTATCACGGCGTTTAAAATTCTTTAAACCAAGAGATTTATACCACATGTGAAACAATGACACAAAAGATGGTTTAAAAGATGATGCTTTGAAGTTATAATGCACGTTCGGTCGATAGTCAACTTTGACCCTTATCAATTTGACATCAAATTGGGTAAAGTACATATATACTACATTGATACGTATATATTACATATATTACATTGCGTAACAAGATATTTGACCAATGATCTTTAAACCAATGACCAGCAAATTTCTAGACAACCACTGATTTGATATTGACTTTTTGATATTGACATTTGATACTGACATTTGATACTGACATTAATATTGACATTGATTGATACAGATTTGATATCGATATTGATTTGATACCGATATACATTTTTGATAGTATACAAAAAGAAAAGCAACACAACCGATTCTGGAACAGAAAAACTGAAAGATCTGGCGGATATTATAAAATTAGACCCGAATATAAGTAACATCTTGACTTTGTCACACTCGTTGAGATTCAGTTGATTTTAATTGGTTGAGATAACAAATACAAATATGATAAGAAACAAATTATAACACAAATATAATATCTATAAAATAGATCAACGAATCGTCGTAATGAGATATTAATGAATGCGTATTTATCGAAGGAAAGATATGTACTTTATTTACATCTTGTTTGTAAAGATTGAATTCTTTTAATTTGTTCATTCTTGAACAGATATTGTTCAAATTACCATAAGAATATAAGAATACGTAGAATACGTAGAATACGTAGTAAAAGCCATAATCACTTGACTCATTTATAGATCAAGTTTATTGCCAATAATAGATTGAATAAAAATTTATTATATATTTTATTTTATTTTATTTAATATATTTATTTATTGATTGATTTATGTATTTAAAATTTGCACAAGTTGGTTTAGCTTCTTTCGTGGCTCAGAAACTAAATATTTAGAGAATTTTCATCTGTTATCGTTATTTATTCTTGGCGTACCGGTACGTACAAATCCATTTGATAAAAAAGTAAAAAAGAAGAAATAGGATCATAGTTATACATGCGTGTGTATAACGGTATTTTCCAGTCTATGCAAGAATTTAAGTAACAACTGGCGCATAAAAAACCCAATTTAGAAGTAATTAGAAGTAATTAGAAGTAATTAGAAGTAATTAGAAGTAATTAGAAGTAATAGTTAGTGAGTTTTAATGCCCGAATTTATGGCGTTAGATGTCAAAACTCGGTTCTTTCCATTCAAGTAATTTTTTTTTTAACTTTGAACCAGTACAGAATTAGTTAGAATTAGTTAACGCTTGTAGCCTAAGAGAGTTCTTTATTTTTCAAGGATTCTAAATGAACGGCCTATTATATCTATGATTTTAAACGGTTTAAGTAATTCATCGTTACAAAATGATCAAATTGTGAATTGAATTCAAAGCACACTAGTGGATAACACTGGCTGATAACACTGGTGGATATTTAACAATTTTTTGAGTGCACTGATTTATCGATTTAGTATTTAAAAAGAAAAAGCTTTTTTATTCAAAATATTACACCAATTATTGTACAACATGTTAACGTGTTATTGATATATCTGTTAAAGGTAACCCCGAGTTTTGAATGTTTTAATTACGTTTAATACGTTTAATACAGTTTGTTAGCAAAGGAAAGTTCTCCACATAAATGCATAACGATTTTATCCAAAGAAAATTTTGATAAGAACGGCTTTAAAAGATGTACGTACATGTTGTACTTCAATATGTAATTCTGAAGTATCACCAACCTAATGTACTATATAACTAATCTATCCAGTATACTATTTAAAATACTATTTAAACACTATATATTTAAATATTATTTAAATACTAATTGAACATTGATACGTATATTAAAAACTTAGCGTTAGTGCGTGCAGTAAATACATTGATATTTTAAGAACTTTGTGAGAACATTTGTGAAACACTGAATTTTTTTAAAGTTAGTATCAAAACTTGTAAATATGGGATTACATGGGATGACATGAGATTACATGGAACATTAAGACTTTATTTGTTCTTGTACAAGACTTTAAAAATCAAACAAAGGTCCAAATTTCAACAGTCGTTTAGTGTCAGATGCCAAATCAACCAAGTCAACGGTTTTATGTTATCTGTTATATGCCAGTTATATTCGTACGCAGGATCAAGTGAGAAATTTGTGGAACAAATTTCGCGGTTTGAAACCATACTTGTATTTGCAGATTTCCTACGCCGCAAGTACGTACGTACGTACGTGCATGCATAAAATAACGTAATAAGTACAGGAAGAAAAACTTATCTGTGTTGGAACGTGATGGGATTACATATGATTAGCGTTAGTAGAGATGTTGGGAAATGTTGAGAACCCAGAATTATCAAACTGATTGAAACTATAACTTTATATATTGTCACTCAAACAGCATTATTATTGGATATAAAAAAAAATGAATTTTTGAAGTTTAATAAAAAGTAATGAATTAATTTATTCACAAGTTACACACAATAAAGTTATCAAGATATGCTATCAAAACCACAAAACCCTTGAATATTTTATATTTACTGGAGATAAACCAGATAAACTAAAGATAAACTAGAGATAAACTAGAATAAAAGATAGCATATACTGTTATACTGTATAAGATACGTATACTTTTTTCTCTAATAGGCAATGAATACCAGATTTCCACGAAGCAACAAATAACGCGCATGGCGTTATATGCGTTATTTCACTTTCACGAAATTACGGTTTTTTTTTTAATTATAAAATCATTATAGATAGATAGATAGATACATTATATAAATAAATCAAAAAGGCATTTCGTTTATGTGTAATAGTGCGGCATCAAGGTTCTGAGTCGAGTCCAATAATATCAATAATAAAAAATGATAAAAGAAAAATAATAATAAAAAAAAAAAAATGATAAAAGAAAAATGATAAAAGTAAAATGATAAAGAAAAATGATAGAGTTGGTACGTATTTTGATGTGAAATTTTGTTCACATGATCATTCTGCTTGAAATGTAGGATAAAAAGTGGCTTGTCTAGACAACAACTTTTATCATATCATATATAAATTTAAGATGGGAAAAATGACGACATTGATAACATTGGCAACATTGCCGTTTAAACGTCAAGATATGGACCCTGTATCAAAATAAAAGCTTTACTGGCTGGATCGTTTTATTTTCTAGAAATAACCTAGCTTCCGAAAATTATGATTACACTAGTCACATTTTATATACTCTGTTAATCAATGTCCAATAAACCATGACATTTTCCTGACATCATTATGCATATTAAAAAAAACAAGAATATCAGCCTTTCATGATCAAAGAAGAAATACAGTAATCGTACTTATGGTTATTATAGAGCGTGAAAAGTTATAATTTTGAGATTAGATAAACTCGTTACGGATAACAAAAAGAAAGTGAATCTACGTATTAAGTCAATGATATCTTACGTAAAGTATATAGAAAAGTATAGAAAAATATATAATAAGAAGTATATATCTGATATAGAATAAATGTGGAGTAAATGTCGAATAAGTGTACGTAGAATAAATGGGAAGTACATATCTGATATGGGTGTAAAGTTCAGTTAAAGCAGCTCATTGAAAAAAAAATTGAAGAAAACATACAGTACACTATCCTCACGTTCTTTCCCCATTATTGACAAATGACCGAAAAGATACCCGATTTGCATGTATTGTTACATTACTCATTTGTGTATAAGTTTCTTTTTGGAAACCCTTATTTTTAAGGTTCTAGTTCTCTCATTAAATAGAATGCTACGTTACTTTTGTCGTCGAAAGACCCAATTCGGATTGATAGATAAGTACACTAGATAGTAATTTTCTTCATATATGGTGAAAGAATGAGTCCAGACATAGTAAATTGTATTTGGTACATCATTGAATCTGTCTGTTCACGAGGTAAGGATCAAATTCTGGTTCGACTGTATACGTATGTATACGTATAGTATGTATTAAACGCGACAAATCGATAAATTCGATAAATCGATGATTCAATGATAAATCGATAAATAATAATAAACGATAATAAACGATAATAAACAATAATAAACGGTGTTATTAAATGTATTCTATGTATTTCTATGTTTATGTTATGTATTCTACGTATGTATTCTATGTATTCTATGAAATTTTTCTTTGGATTTTACGAACCTATAAAGTTTAAACGAAAGAATTCACATGCATGAATATGTTCATATTTAAATTGAATAAATTAAAATAATTAAAATGAATAATTAAATGAATAATTAAAAATGATTATAATTAAAAATGTAATATTCAAATTACACTAATATCTTTCAATCATATCCTTCTATCGAAGCCGTTCATGACATGTCAAATTTACACTATTAATTAGATTTAATTAGATTTAATTATTTAATTAGTTTTTTACGCCATGAATAACAAGAATATATTTACTATATAAACAAAAATGAAATTTCTGTGCAATAACAATCGCGACACAAAAGTAACCTCATATCATGTCACTAAAAAACAAACGATGGTGCGTATGATCACAACTTATCTGTTTACTCATTATTTGCAAAGGTATAACTTCAATAAAGCAATAGGGTAATAAAGTAGGCGTAATAATATCCCGCGGGTTTCTCGAATTCATATCTGTGATTTATTTTTGTTTAGAAATGGTTTCTTATCTAACTGTTATATATATATTTTTATTAAGTATTATTATTATGTATTATTATTCGTTATTATTATTATTATTATTATTATTATTATTGTTATTACGTAGATTTACATTCACCTATTATCTGTTGTAGGGTCCACTAATGCACATATAAAAATTATATTTGATTATATACAGATAGTAAATCAAATCTAACTTTAAAATTCCAGTTTTTAATATTTGAAAATTAGATATTTTTTAAAAAAGACATGAATATATTTATCGGGATTTCCTGCCGTAAATCCGGTTTATCCGGCTTATTAGTTTCCGTGCTAAAAAATTTCAAAAATTTCAAAATTTAAAATTTGGCAATCATCAGTCTTGTAAAAAAAAAAGGTTCATTGATCATTACGAAAAAATTCGTGCTCTTTTTCATTCTTCTTTAGATTATAATTTTCGACGCAGGAACTGCACCACGTTGACAAAAAATTTGGATTGATCATTACGAAAAAATTCGTGCTCTTTTTCATTCTTCTTTAGATTATAATTTTCGACGCAGGAACTGCACCACGTTGACAAAAAATTTGGCTCCTTTTTTTTTTTTAAAAAGCCACGCTACACAGCTATACACTACTATACACTACTATACACTAGCTATACACAGCTATATACAGCTATACACAGCTACAGGTAATAATGGTTTGTAATTCATCTGTATTTTCCATTATCCCTGCTAGATTATTATTCTCTTTTTTATTTCTTTAATTCTTTTGTTAAAGGTTACTCACATAAAAAGTGCCCTGTTTCCAATAACGGAAACATTGGTAATTGTATTTCATCGCATATAAAATTTACTCTAAACTATTATTCGATCATCATCATTTTTCGTTCTATACTTTTTTTATTTTGATGTGTTGTAGATTAAAAATACGATTTCACATATATATAGCCGTGCTCAAGTTTATTGTCTGACAATTTTTTTCTTTTTTTTTTTTAAAAAAAAAAAAATTGTTTTTTTTTCACGAATATATTATTCATAATAATAATTATCTAATAGTATCTGTTGTTTCTTCTATTTTCCCATCCAAAAGCGAAACGTTTGTACCTTATAAATTTCTTTTTTTAAAAAAAAAAACAATTACTCTTATCAATACATAAATTCGATAATATAAATACATAACCTTTATCGTTATATTTGATTTCCTTACAATAATATAAGGTTGAAAGATAACTATTAAAAAAATTTTTATTCATTTTTTTTTTTTTTTTACACAAACATGCAAAACTTGATACGCGCAAGTTTTGCCTTTTTACGTTCAATAATTCTTTTATTTTGCGGTCCTATTATAATACTTGATAGTATTATACTTAAAGGAACAATTATAAAACATATTGATTATTTAATAGAGTCTCTAATAGAGTCTCTAATAGTAATAGTATCTATCAAAACCAGCAATAAAAATGTACCGGAACATGTTCTCTACAGCTCTTTACAATCGAATAATATTAACAACAGATTTGGCTCAAGTAATTTATCTCCACGTCATGGAAAAAAGAGAAGACAACAACTTCACAATACTGTACCTTCTTCTTCTTCTACTTCTTCAAGTAATGACGTATCAATTGCTAAAAATATGAAATTCTCTGAAGAACAAAAACGTAAATTAATTGGTAAACTTGCTGCAATCTCAAGAGGAAAAGATTTCAGGTCTCAGTCTCCTTCTGATAATACTGATCCCACTACTACTACTATACCTATACGTGTGAGATTACGTACAATTAATTCTGTGGTTATAATTAACCCTAAATCTATTTCCATTAAAACCTCCATTCTTCACATGCCTCCCGAAATAATGTTGTGCATATTTGATTTCTTACCTTCACGAAAAGATTTTTACTCTTGTCTTTTTGTTTGTAAACCTTGGTACATCATGGTTACTCCATTTCTTTACAAATCTCCACAAATTTATCATCGGTTTTCTTCAATGGATATAGCAGTAGCTTTTATTGATTCTACCACAACTCATTTATCACCTTCCAAACTTAAATACGCTCTAAGTTCCAAGACAAGACTTCCATTAAATTTTCCTATTGAAAAATATGGATCATTTATTAAAATATTAGATTTATCCATTGGATCTGATTATGTTACCGATTCAACAATTCAAGCCATAGCTTATTCTTGTCATAATTTACGATTAATTAATTTGAATAATTGTATTCATATATCAGATAATTCATTGGAATCACTTTCAAAACATCAATGTTCATCTACTTTAGTATCTATCAATTTATGTGGATGTCGTAAGATTACAGATATGGGAATCAAAATGTTATCAAAATCATGTCAAGGATTAACATCATTAAATGTAGCAGATTGTGGAAAAATTACAGATCAAAGTATTATAATGATTTCAAAAGGTTGTCCAAGATTACGACAAATTCGATTATCAGATTGTCCTAGAATTACAGATCAATCGATTGAAGCTTTAATATTAAATTGTTCACGTCTCTGTTGGTTAGATATTGCACGTATTGGAAGAATTACAGATTCTACAGTTCGTCTTATTGCTAATAAATGTAAAGAAAATATGGAATGGTTAAATTTGGCGCGTCCTTCACCTATAGAAGCAGTTTATTCATCAGCTCTTGCAAGTCCTACACTTCTTCCAGTATCAGTGGGAGGGAATTTTCAGAGTAATGAAGAAGAAGAAATTACAGATCAATCAATTATAATGTTGGCAAAACAATGTCCAAATCTTCAATTACTTGATTTATCATATATGAACTCTATAACAAATCGAGCAATTGAAGCAATTGCAAATAATAGTTTTTCACTTATATGTCTTACTATTATTGGATGTAGATTAGTAACGTGTGACTCACTTAGATATTTGGCACAATTAAGACGAAAATCAGGACATTTAGGATGTATAACAATGGGAGATGCGGTCGGAATTACAGAAGAAGATATAGAAAGTATTACAAATGAACCTGAAGGATTGTTGAGTGGATGGCAAAAGAGTTCAGTAGATGAAAATAGTTTGAAAGAAATTTTGGAAGGTGTAAGTTGGGAAGCAGTTGGAACGTGGTAATTCTGCGTCTGTTATTCTACGTTATTCTGCGTTATTCTGCGTTATTCAGAGTTATTCAGAGTTATTCTGCGTTATTCTGCGTTATTTTTGTTATTTGTTATTACTGGTTATCTATTATAGTATTAGAAGAGAGTCATGATCCATATAGTCTTTCTTAACATATTCCTATTCTAGATATTCTAGACATTATTTTTTTAACACATACAAATGACAAAATGTAGATAATTTTTTTATATTGAGATAGTTGGTTTATTGAATTGTTTCGGGCATTTTTGTACATAATTTTTTTTGTTATGAATGTTATAGTATTTTATTGTAGTATTTCTTTTTTTTTTTTTAAAAAAAAAAAGAGTATTTTTAGTTAACGCATTTACCATTTATATATATATATATATTGTTTTTTTTAAAAAAAAAAAAAAAAAAAAGTAATGATAATACATTGAGCATTTGAAACGAACAAAAAAAAAAAAGTTTTTTTTTGTAATAAAAATTTGTCCAGTATTATTTTGTTAATACCGATACGTACCATGTATATCCTAAGTATCGCTATTTTTTGCTACATTATATGAATAAGCGGAAGGGTTGGCCGATTATCAAACATAATACAGTACGTACGTACGGTGGTCAAATGACCTTGGTCATAATACTCACTCATATGACTTATATGACTTATATGACTTTTTACTATCGTTTATGATTCTTACTATGTAAAATTTCCGTTTATCGTTTGGTCATAAGGTCATCGATAGTCATCAACAGTCAAATCGGAAATGTTTATGAGTTACACGAGCTTGGTAATATTCAAAAAGACAATGACGTAATCAAATAAGCCTCAAAAGATAATGATAATGTAATCAGATGAGCCTCAAAAAAAGGTAATGATGTAATCAACGGAATTTCAAAGTTAAAATGATGTAATAATATAAATTAAAAGAAAAAAAATGTTAATGATGTAATCAATAGAATTTCAGAGATAAATGAGGTAATCGTAATTTGTAATTTCAAAGTAAGCATTATATGGTCATTATATGGGGGGCGTTGTAAATCAAAAAAAAAAAAAAAAAAAACACGCGACTTTATTTGACTTTATTTTGACTTTATTTCGGCAATAATGCATATTTAAAATTAAGTACGTACGATCAATGTTAGTACAAAATAGGAGACTGCAAACCTTTACTATAATGTTAATCACTACGTGATTGGTTATATCATTTCCAACAAATATTTTCCCGGCATCTCTAGATCAGGTTAGTAAAATGGATACTGATACGAAACGGATCCGAAATGGATCCGAATTAGATCCGCAGGGATTATTTAAAATCCCGATATAAGATGATCAGGACCAATTCTGAACCATTTGGAGAACATTAAGGCTAACCTAAACTGTCAATAAAATGGGTGATGGACGGGGAAAATTCGCACTTTTTAAATAAAGATTTTCCTAATTAATCACGCAAATGATCAAATAATCACATAAATAATCACTCAAGGAAATTAATGATTCCGGTAGTCTTATTGCTACGTATATCAATATATATCAATATATATCAATATATATCAATATATATCAATATATATCAATATATAGCAGTATATCATTAGTATAATAAATTATCACCAAAAATATAATTTCTAAAAATTTAAATCCATTCTCCGTAAAATTTTTTGCTAAAAATAACAAAAATCCAGTCACTACATAAACTACGTAATTTACAGAATTACCGAACCATTCATTGAAATATAAGAGTAACACACTAACGTTAAGGGAAAAAAACAGACGGGTTTCAAGTTTATATTATTTATCGAATTAATTCCTGATTGATAACATATACATAAGTGAGAATTTTAAAATTATTTTAAGAAAAATTTAATTTAATTACGCATTCTCAGATCAGGGCTGAGAATGGTAAATAATAAATAAATAAAACTGTAATAAAACTTGAAAAACCCGAAGGCAGGTTTTTTTCATGGCCATGGCGTAACTTTCTCACCAACCAAAAGTTAATCATCATCAAATAATAAAAGGGATTGACTGATATATCCAGAATATAATTAATTCCCAAGGGTATTTTTAGTCGTCTGAGTTTAGTGTAACATAAAAAAATTAGGATTTTTCTTTTGTTTACGGTATCACTACCTTTTTGTGTTACTATTCACGTTAAGTGTTATACGTAATGTATATATACATTAGAGGCTGAACTAGACCTGGATTACGAAATAAAAGCAAGCTTTTAGCACACAAGTTAGCCTGAATTAAAAATTCCAACGCAAAATGCCGATTAATGAAATGTATATTTTCGGAATTAATAATAAAATTCCATAAATTCCAATAAAAATTTACATAAAATTCAAATGACACTAGATATTTACAATTTACAATTTACGATAACGATAAATTCGAATGACTTAAATTTAGCCACATGGCCACATCAGCCACGTTAGTAAGTTCTAGTAATTTCTGGGTACGTACATACGTATGTACGTACGTACCGATACATTAGCCACGTTGATTACATTATTCACTAACAGCTAACCACATTGATTACATTATTCACTAACCGCTAACCACATTGATTACATTATTCACTAACAGCTAACCACATTGATTATATTATTCACTAACAGCCAACCACATTGATTATATTATTCACTAACAGCTAACCACATTGATTATACACATTGTTGTATCAAGTAGTTTTCTTTTTTTTTTGAAACAGATATATTATTATTAGTCAGGGATGATATCGTGAATAAATACATATCAAGGAATAAATAATAATTAACACGTTGTAATACCAGTTATGAACCATCAAAGAAACTATTGTACATAGAAGTACGCGGCTATCTCTATGAAGGTCCATATTTCGAATAATGGATAACTCTTTGATATTCTAGAGTTTATAAATTCATTAAAAAAAAAAAATTTCGTGATCAAAATATTGACCAAAAAAACTTAATCATTTAATAACCAAGAATGGTTAGAATTGGTTTCTTTAAATCAATGAAATTTGATTGGTACTTTTTTTAATCAAAATAAGTAAAAAAAAAATAAAAATCCGTTAATAAATTTGATATTTTTTTTTAGCACGTTACACGCAAATCGGTTTAATATAAAAAATCAAAAATAGCTCATGTGTAAAAAAAAATTAATGTTAATTAATTGTTTATTATTATAATAGAAAAAAATTATTCGTAAATTATTTGTACGTAAAATTTGTAATCACCAGTAACACAGTATATACATAACATTTTTACCTGAGTTAAATCTCTTGCCTTGATTTGCCTTGATTACTTAATTAGAATCTTTATACTGTACTTACTAGATACTGATACGTACGTACGTGCGTTCGTACGTACATGGGTACATGGGTACATAGGACACATAGGACACATGGGTACATATGACACATATGGCACATAGGTGAGTTCATACGTACGTACGTACGTATCAATACGTATCAATACGTAAGTCGTAAGTTCGTACATTCGTACATATTATACATATTCGTACGCTCGGACGTTCCGTACGTTCGAGTATCTGGTATCAGGGTATGTACGTACACATAACATACGCATAACATACACATAACAGAAAATTTTTTGTTTGTTTTATTTTTTTTATGATTGTCACCTGCATTAAATTTTGCCAATAACCAATCTAGCACATGTATACTATAAATAACGATGTATATTATTAATCCAAAAACACAAAGATAGTTAAAGATAGTTAGTCGGCTAATTGACAGCAGGTAATGATTAAAAACACTGAAACGTAACATGAAGTAGAATTAGTAAATATAGCATATTTGATGTAGCATATTTAATATAGCATATTTGATGTAGCATATTTGATGTAGCATATTTGATTTAGTAAATGTAATACAAAAAAAATACAAACACTTTTTTGGAACAATTTTATTGAAGTATTTTTTACATATTGAGCTATTTGTTTATTTACGTTAACAAAAAACCAAGTTACATTAAAAGTCGTGATGATATATTTTTTTTCGTGTTAAAAAATGATTTTTGCATATGTTAGTGTCTAAATAATGATTTTGCATATATTAATGTCTAAATGACAAATTCATTCGATCATAGAAGAATGAGTAAAAATAGATCAACGGAATAAAGATATATTACCACGCGAGAAGTGAAACATACAATGAATGCTCATCTGTGTTTGGGGCAAAAAAGAAGGGGCTTAGTCCCGTGTTATTGTTTCACAACCGCCGTTTTTTCATTGTTTCAGTCAGGTTGACATTTTCCTTTACTAGATATCTATCGATACTTTCATGGATGTTCATTTTATTATCTATACATTTATGAATCAATAGGATATTTTTTATTACTATATATATATTTTAAATATATATACGTATTAAATATTTATATACGTATTAAATATTTATATCAGCATATTAAATATATATATCAGTATATTAAATATAGATATCAGTATATTAAATATAGATATCAGTATATTAAATATATATTATTAAATATATATATTAAATATTTATTTTAGGTATATCTTTTCTTAAACTTTATATAGTTATTAGGTTATGATAAACTAAATTAACAATTCATTGTTTTTCGATAGTTTTCCCCACAAAATACCTAATTTAGATGCTAAAAAAAAAAAAAAAGATATGATTATAATACAGTAATAAGTAATAAGTAATAAAAGGTACAGTATTACATACAGTATTACATACAATAAAACATGTAATATAAAATATAATACGTATAACTATTACATATAACATATAATATTTGATGTTATAGTATTACAATAATATTAGCGCGAAAACTAAAGTAAAATTTAAGTAAATTTTTAAGTGAAATATAAGTAAAATTTGTAAGTATAGTATAAAGGAAAAATTAACTCCGAAAAAGATGTAACCAATAGAGTAAATAAACGTAAATAAAGTAGTCAGGTGATGGCAAATGTCATTGTTGATCCAATAAGTAATCAAATATGACAAATAATCAAACGAAAT